CATTACGGCAAGGCTGGGATGGTCAATTTGGTAAAGTAAATCCGTTGGGCCTCTTTCTTCGTCTTTAGACAATAATTCTGATGCAAAAGAGCCAAACGGGACAGGCCAAAAAAAAGAAGAAAAAAAAAATACAAAGACAATTGTGTGACTATGAATTATTAAGCTGACGCTAGTCTATGACACAGTACATATACAGAATCTGTTGTGTTATTAGACTGGTGTGAATGATTTTATATCAAATAGGCAGTGTTGGGAAGGTTACTTTTAAAATGTATTCCATTACAGAATACAGAATACATGCCCCAAAATGTATTCTGTAACGTATTCGTTACGTTACTCAATGACAGTAACGTATTCTGAATACTTTGGATTGCTTAATATATTATCATGCTTTTTACAACAACGTGAATGTACTATTGCTGTGTGATTTATTACTATTACTGAAGGTCTGCGACTCCGAACTGTAGTAAAGGGACCTCTGACTAATACGGCGGGGTCCCTGTCGGCTCGTAGCCGAAAACTAGCTTTACTTTGTTGTGTGGGTCAACTTTTCTGGCGAGAGACAGAGAGAGGCGTTGAAAGGCTGCTCCAACGAAACTTATTGTTTTCGGAGGAAAACACGAACACGGTGTACAGTTGAGTCTTAATAGCTTACTTACAGCTGGGCTCGTCAGGCACTTTTCTTGGCTGCAGTGGTTATTATTATATTTACATGCTTCCAGCTCCCGTTTTTCCTCGATGACAACTCGTACCTTTCCACTCCCCTTTTTCTCCCTCCTCGCGCTCACAGACCCATAACGTGTATGGCAGTCCATTCTCCCTGCAACACGGACTACACTGCCCATGATGCTACATTCTTTAGAGCTATGCTTGTAGCATTCTGTCTGTTAGCTTAGCACAACAACAACAACAACGAAAAGGCGCTCTCTCACCCAGGAAACACACAGTCGCAGAAAGAGAGAGAGAGCGTCGCCCTGTAACCATGGCAACCGTAACGCTGCCACCTGGAACAACAGAACGTAGCTGTCAAACAAACCCAAACAGTCCTGACCCGCGACAAAATGAAACAGGAAAGTACCGCAGTGTAATCCATTTATTTCAACAAAGTAACTGTATTCTAAATACCACCTGTTTAAACGGTAACTGTAACGGAATACAGTTACTCATATTTTGTATTTTAAATACGTAACGGCGATACATGTATTCCGTTACTCCCCAACACTGCAAATAGGCTCCCCTCCATTAAACCTATAAATAATACAATAAATTCAAACTTGTGTACCCAATTAAATTTTTTTTAAAGTAGTTAAAGATGTGTGCTATATATTCTTCCTCAAATCCTCAAAAAAGAAGCCACATTCAGTCTTTCATGCATCTCAGTGCTGTTCTACAAAAAAACAACATGTAGCTGTGTAACTGAAACCCACTGGCTGTTAATGTCAGTGAGCCAGTAAACCTTAAATAAACCTAGAGCAAAATCATTAAGTTGTTAAACACTTTGTAAGCTCACTGTTATTCCCCTCTTTCCCTCCATTTTATATAAAAATGTATTTTTGTGCCATCAATCTTTTTTTTCCACTTCATTCATCTTGTATCTCATATCTTAAAGCTTATATTCAGTAGCTGCTGAATCAACTGCAATATGAAACATGCTTGCACTACTTTTTAATATTCATTTTTGTGTGGCTGCTCACAGGCATCCACACTATTGAAATCCTGTTTCTCTTTATTCTTTATTCCACTATAATCTAGTTGCTTTTTTGGCACTTAACTACTTCCTCAGTTTTCAGCCGATTTTCACCGTTCAAACTCTAAACTGTTCTGCTCTTTCTGCTAATGGGTGCTATGACTTTTGGTACTTATAACTATTATATCTTTTTAAAATATTACACTTTTTTCCTTTTTTTTGTCCCATTGAAATGAATGGAAAACTTCCACGATTCTGCTAAAACTTAACTACTTCCTCATACTTTCACGTAGAACAACCATTCAAACTTTAAATTGTTCTCAACTTATTGGGCTATTCATGTATGATTCAGCTTTTTCATATCTTCTACCATTTTAATCTCATCCCTCTTTAAGTTTTCAGTTGCAAAATTGTGATTTTTCAGAAAATATATGCGTTGTTACGGTTGCTATGCAACTAACTCAGAGTGGACAGTTGAACTTTCTGAATTTTCTCTTCATGTCCGAACAACTTCTTGCTACTCGCTCAATTTCCACTCAACCCCCACAAATTATACATCAAAACGTAGGTATTTTTGCTGGCTTTCAGAAAATGTCACTATCATTGTTGTGGGATTTACAGATTTTTAGCAAATCTCCTCAGATCAACACAAAGTCCGACAACTCTCCATAGACAGTCAATAGAGAATTTGTTCAACATCACCGCTGGAATTCTCTAATGAGAGGCATTTTCAAATCGTCATAGCCTCAAGTTAAAACAATATATCTTCAGACACTCCTGACGCTCACAATTCAAGAATTTTTTCCTCACCTATTACCGTTTGGCCATGAATTATGTTTGTTTGAGGGTAGGAAATTCGTCCGTCGCTCAGATTTCTTCAGATTTCGAACTCTGGAAATTAGGCACTTTTTTCTCTCTTCATGTCTTTTTGATGGATTTTGACAGAGCCCTGAAAATGTCCATGACTGTTCACCAAAGCCTGCTGTTTCTTATGATGAAAGAATGATATTGATGCTCCATATAGATTTACAGTTACAAAACGTTGTTTGAGGGCAAGTCAAGGCAGTTTTTGCTTCGCCTCGACTCAGTTACAGTGTGTTACAAGTCACATATCTTTAATAATTTATACTTTAATTATGAATTATGAAGACCTGAAGATTCCCCCATCTCTTCTGAACAAAACGGTGTTAGAATGACCGTTCTAGCCTCTACGGTTAGGAAATTATGGCCATTTGTTCGAGGAGAATCCTGAATGTGAGAAATACACTGAAGAAAACTCACACCTCTCTCTGTGTCTGTGTGTGTAAGGGCTGACTACAGCAGGTGCAGCTAATTTAACTGACCTACATATACCAAGCCCAGACTCTCCACAGCTCCTGTTCCCTTTACTGTCTGTGTATGTGTGTGTCTATCAATATTTCTACTATGTTAAAGTATTACTGCTAAATCATACTACTTCTGCTAAATCATAGTATTTATACCAAATCATAGTATTCAAACCAAAGCATTGTATTTGTACAAAGTCATATATTTCTTCTAAATCATAGTATTTCAATCAAATCTTAGAAGTTGTGGTAAAATGCAGTATTTCTGCCATATCATTGTATTTGTGCCAAATCATAGTATTTGTGCCCAATTAATATTTCTGTTATGTTATAGTATATGTGCTGAATATAGTATATGTGCCAAATAATAATAATAATGGATTGGATTTATATGGCGCTTTTCTAGGCACCAAAAGCGCTTTACAATTCCACTATTCATACACTCTCGCATTCACACACTGGTGGAGGCAGTTACAGTTGTAGCCACAGCTGCCCTGGGGCAGACTGACAGAAGCGAGGCTGCCATATCGTGCCATCGGCCCCTCTGGCCAACACCAGTAGGCAAGTAGGGTAAAGTTCTTGCCCAAGGACACAACGACCAGGACAGAGAGCCCAGGGATCGAACCGGCGACCTTACGGTTACAGATGCGATTCCCAACCCCCTGAGCCACGGTCGCCCCAAATCTTAGTATTTGTGCCAAATTGTAGTATTTGTGCAGAAACATAGAATGTCTGCAAAATCATAGTATATCTGCTATGTTATACTATTACTACTAAGTCATAGTATTTCTGCTTTGTTATAGTATTTGTGCTAAAATGTAGTATTTCTGCCAAATCATAGTATTACTGCTATTTCATAGTATTTGAGAAAAATTACAGTATTTCTGCTAATACATAGCAGGAATAAAATGATTTAGCAGAAATACTATCTTATAATACTTTTACTCAATTAAAGTATTTGTGCCAAAGTTTAGTATTTCTGCCAAATCATGGTATTTCTGCTAAATCTTAGTAATTCTGCTCAATGACTGAATTTCTGCTATGTTGTAGTATTTTTGCTAGATTATAGTATTTCTGCTAAGTCAAAGTATTCCATGTAAATCAGAAATCACAAATAATGTCTCAAATGCTACGATTTGGCAGGAAAAATATTATTTAGTATAAATACTATGTTTTAGCACAAATACTATGATTTATCACAAATGCTATGATTTGGCACAAACACTGTGATTTACCAGAAATACTGTGATTTGGAAGAAATAATATGTTTTATTAAAATTACTATGTTCAAACTTTAAAAAATTCTGCTCTTTTTGCTAATGTGTGCTATGACTTTTGGTACTCATAACTTCTATACTTTTTGAGATATTGAATTTTATATGCAATTTTTTTGCCCATTGAGATAAATGGAACACATTGTCAGTGTGGTCATTGATTTTAGTTGCCGGGACAAGCAGTGTTTTAGCTCAGTGAGATGAGCATCCGTTCTCGGAGCGGGAGGCCCGGGTTCAAATCCTGCTTATGGCAACAATATTTCAGTTCACAGTTAAACTTTTTAAACTCTTTTCAACACAAATTTCAGCTTCTTCACCCCTTTTCAAAAGAATTTTCAGTTTTTTCACCCCTGAAACTTTTCATCTTTTTCAGCTATTTTCAGCAAACAGCTTCAGCGTTATAGCATCCATGGGGCAGGGATAGCTCCGTAGGTAGACTGGTGGCCCCATGATCAGAAGGTCGGGGGTTCGACTCCATTGAACGGCTACCCTGAGGTACCCCTGAGCTAGGTACCGTCCCTACACACTGCTCCCCGGGCGCTGCACTGGTGGCTGCCCATTGCGTCACTGGGTGAATGCAGAGGAACTATTTCCCTATGGGGACTAACACGCACACTTTACACAGCATTTTTGCAGGAAATGCAAATTTTTCTAGTTAAAACTTAGCATCCACCTATAATGTGGCTCCAACCCTGCAGTCCCTCAAAGACTCACCAGTTTGTGTTTGGCATCCGTTAGGTGGGTCTCTTCGTAGCTGTCATCATGGGCCGTCCAGCTGTAAGATACCAGGAAATGCTGGATGGGTGAGTGGTAGGTGACCTCCGGATGAGCCCAACGCACCACCAAAGCACTGCCATTGACATGCTGCACCTTCATGTTTATGGGAGCACTACTGCAGACTGGGAGGAGGGTGGAAGCAGGGTCAATGAAAGTCACAAGTGAAGTTGTGGATATGTGCAGAAAGAGCAAGAGGGAAGGCGTTAAAGTGCAAAATATAGTAGCCGGAAAAAGAAAGGTATGCAAGAGGGAAATGAGGAAGGGTAGGTAGGAATAAACAAAGCAATGCAATCAGATGGAAAAAACAACAATATTTATGAAAGGATGATGAATAATGAAGAATATGTTAGTACAAAGAAGAGGAGTGATAGGAAAGAAGAAAGAACGGAGATTAAAACAATGAGAAAATGAAAAGGAAAATTACATTTAAGAAAAATTAAAAGCAAAATGGAAGGAAATGGAGAAATTATAGAAATAAACATAAGAATAGAGATGAAGAAAGGTATGAGGAAAATAAAGAAAAGAGTGGAGAAAGAAGTAAAGAGGAAATGGGAAATTAAGACAAGTTACAGGAACAGATTATAAAAAGGAGAGTGAAGAAGGAAGTGAACGTAGAAGAATGGGCATGAGAAAGAAAAAGGATAGGGAAGATATAAAAATATGTAATGTAAAGGGAGAATGAACGAGGCAGATAATGATTAAAGACAGAGAGAGAGAGAGAGAGAGAGAGAGAGAGAGAGAGAGAGAGATCATTTAATGACTGAATACATTGGCTCAGCTTGTCTTTCAGATACACTCGAGAGGGAGGAAGAGCAACATAAATAAATGACAGGACTATAAAGTCAAATGCACAAATAAATGCTTTACAGGTATTGTAGCTGTAGATTCACATGGCAGCATCTGACCAATCACAAATATGGACAGGTCTACTGATCATTTTTTCAACAGTACATGGTTCTGGGTCTTTTTCACCCAGCATGTTGAATTTCATGTTTTTTGTATTATTATGTTCTAATTTGTTTAGTCTTCAGTTAGTTCTGTTGATACTGAGTTCAGTTCCTCTATTTAGTTCTTGTCTAATTTCCTTCCATGTCTGTTGGTTTTGGTGTCGTGTCTTCAGTGTGCAACTCAGGTCCCCTGTGTCTAAGTCTCCCTTCCCCTTTGTGTGTCTCAGTGGTGTCTTTGTCCTGTGTCCTGTCTCCTCTTGGTTCCCCTTGTGTCATCAGTTATGTGTTTTCTCCCTAGCTGTCATGTTGTGTGTATTAGTTTCTTAGTTATGTCCGTGCTCCATCTACGTTTTCTATGTCCCTGATGTTATGTCAAGCCCGTGTATCTCTGTGCTTCCTGTTTTACAACAGTGTCGAGTCCTTTGTCATGTTGTCTGTATTGTCTTTTTGTCTCCTGTGTCAGGGTCTAGTTCTCTCGTTTCCCTGTGTTTTGTGTTTTAGTTTTCCCAGTTTAGTCAATCAGTCTAGTCTAAGTTCACATTTTGCCTTTTATTTATGTTAACATTATCATTTAAACAGGCAATACCTCTATACTAGCAAAATAAGAGATAAAGGGTTGCCACTTGTGAAAAAATTTGGCTGTGCAACCTCTCAACGTATATTTAATTTTTTCAAGTTTTAAAAAAAACATGACATCTTTAAGTCAAAGGAGCTTGCAAAGACTGAGAACCTTCACAGACACATGACATCTTTAAGCCTAAGCTTAAGGAAATAGTAGGATACTTAACAGACTTCCAACGCAACAATATTAGATGTCTCGCTAATAGGGATGTGAAGGCAATAATATCCTTTTGTGTGGAATAAAGTGTAAGTGAGCGAACAGGAATCCCAAATACAGCAATCAGAGGACAAGGATGAAGAGTTACCCCAAGAACAGTTGACATAATAGCAAAATACCCTGTCCAGAAACCTTGTAGCTCAGGACACAGAAAAAACATGTGGCTAAGGTGGCAAGGAGAACCATGGCATTTATCACATTTATTTTCCACTTCTGGATACAATTCAGAAAGTCTAGAATTAGAGAAATGCACCCTGTGTATGACCTTAAATTGAATAAGTCCAAGACAAGCACAGGAGGTGGAAGATCGTACTCTCGCTATAGCCTGTTTCCAAGACTCCTCATGTATTTGAATTCCTAGTTCTCCTTCCCGTGTACACTTAAGCTTAACATTAGAGTGGTTACTAAAAGACAGAATAGCATCATAGAGTTTCGAAAAGGTTCCTCTGTGATGAGGAATAAATGATAATATTTAATGTTTTGAACCAAAATTCTTATTAATTGAAAGCTTATATATATTGCTGATTTAAGTGTTTCCTTATTTTTTCTTTTCAGCAGTACATTTGCCAAACATGATGATAAACTTGGATAGTCTGGAAAAGCACGTTTAAATTTGATTTTGGTTTTTTCATTGATTGGGCGAGGTCACTTAGGAATGTTTTGCAGCAAGTGTTTCTTCACCATCTACAACCAGGCAGCTGTTGAAGTGACTTAAACTTTTTGTCAAAGGCGAGACATGTGAACTCCAGGTTGTCACCGTTTTATTCCTTAGTTATATTTTGGAAGGACAACTCAAACCAGACCCAGCAGAAACTTATTGGCCAGTCTCTCAGAATCAAAAGCAACTCCAACATTTCCTAGGTTTCCCAAACTTCTACTGTAGCTTCATCAGGGATTTCAGTAAGAACGCCCTGCTTTTAACCCAACTCACCTCCACTAAAATCTCCTACCAGTTGAACCCCTCTGCCCGACTGCCTTTGACCATCTAAAACAACATTTTGCCGCAGCTCCCATTCTATCTCAACCTGATCTTTCCTGCCAGTTCATCATGGAAGTGGATGCCTCTAACTCCAGCATGGGAGTTGTACTCTCTTGGCAGCAAGAAAGTAAAATGCATTCTTGTCTTTTATCGTCATCTTACCCCTGCAGAGCGCAACTATGATGTAGGAGACCAAGAGTTGCTGCCATCAAGATCGCTCTTGAAGGGTGGAGGCACTGGCTGGAGGGGGTGGTCCCTTCATCAGACAGGTCACAAAAACCTGGCCTAGCTCCAGTCAGCTAACCGGTTCAATGCCTAACAAGTCAGATGGGCCCTATTTTTCATACTGTTTAGGAATATCAAACCAGACACTCTCCAGGAAATTCTCCACCTCTGCCAGCAGAATCAGTCTTCCTCTTTTCCTCATTTATCATTGGCGTCCTCACATGGGTGATTGAATCTGCCATCCACAAGCTTAACAGACCGAACCAGACCCCATGAAAAATCTACAGGGTTGCCTCTATATCCCTTCTGCTGTCTGGGCACACACCACCAAATTCACCTGCCAGCCTGTAATCAACTGTGTTATAACCTTCATTCAACGTTTGTTCCAGTGACCTGCCTTGATTAACAATGTCCACGAATACGTCTCTGCAGTCTCTGTCTGTGCACAAGAAGAGTCTTCCAGCTCTCCTTATGCAAGTTTGTTCAGACCTTCCCCAACTCTTTGTCACCCTTGGTCCCAGATTGCACTTGATTTTGTCACTGGTTTTCCACCCTCTTCTGGCAATATGGTAATACTTAACATAAAAGATCAATTTCCCAAAGCTGTTCATCTCATTGCCCTGTCAAAAGTTCTCTCATGTCAGTTTGTCCTCCCTTGGATACCAACCACAGGTTTTACCATCTGTTGAAGGTGAGCTTTTTCCCCCTGAATCCCTGGAGCCTAGTGTTAGGAAATAAAATATATAATCTGAATGCTGATTAGTGTGTTTTATGAGAGTCCCAGACTTCAGTGTAAAACTAGGTTGTAGGCTGACAGGAAACTGCATGCTTTTGCAGAAGCATGGTAATTGCAGAAGAAAGTGAAACCAACTAGGCTGTTTGATCGAAACTTAAAGTGTGGTGTGACGTAGAGAGCAAGTATATAAATAACTAGGCTTCCGTTTGTGCTTCAGACCTGAAACCATTGTTTTTCTTGTGACATTACCAATAAGTCTGATGTGTCACATGGCCCTCTTCCTATTGAAAAAACAAAAGTTGTATCCAAGATGGCCGACTTCTAAATGGCCACCATGGTCACCACCCATCTTGAGGAGTTTGCCCCCTCACATATACTAATGTGCCACAAACAGGACTTTAATATCACCAACCATTCCCATGTTATTACGGTGTATCTATATAAATGGCCCACCCTGTATAACACTTTACTCATTTTTCTTAAAAGAAACATGTTATATTACTTTCTCGTTACTCCATAAACCAGCCATCTCCAAACCGTTTGCACAAACTTGGGAGCAGAATATCTCTGTATGCTGAAGCATTAATAATTCATTTTAGTCGAACAAATGAGCTGAGCTGAACTCCTGAAAAACACCCCCACATCATACTGCAGTCAGACAAGTATCGTTCTCCTGGAAACCCAAACTCATGCACCAGATTGCAAGACAGAGAAGCGCGATTCGTCACTCCAGAGAACATGTCTCCAGTGGGAGGTAGTGAGGTGGTGGTCCACTCCTGAGTTCTACAGTTTATCCTTCAGAACTGTGGGAAGAATGGTGTTAAAGGAGACTGGAGAAATCAAAGAACATGATTCTCACAGTGCTGCCAGCGGTCTCTAGGTGAGAGAGGGAACGATATAGGAGGTGAATGACGGCACCATGCGCTCCGATGCCAGGCTGGTAGGCAAACTGAAGTGGGTCCAGTGATGAGCTCACCAGGGGGCGAAGCTGTGCCAGGACAAGCCACTCCAAGGTCTTAATCAGATGGGATGTCACCTGAGTGACCGGCCTGGGGCTCGGTCACTCAGGCACAGCTGGCTGCCGGCGGAGCTCACGGGCGCGTCACTGCAACTCCCCCTGGCTTCTGCTCCGCGGCTGCTGAGTGAGCCCTCATCTGGGACTCTCCTCAGCTCTTTCCGGGACAGTGGCGCAGCTGCCCCTCTGTTGGTCTTCCTTGGTCTCTTGTGTTCTGGGGGCCTCTGGATGTCTGGAGTTTTGATCTCCTCCACACCTGCTTCATGCCCTGGAGGACGGGGCTGTGGCCCCCCCACACCCTCTAGCAGATTATTACATGAAGGAACCTTTTAAAAAACAAACGCGTCCATGCTCACAGGTGTACACACGGGTGATCACACCC